ACCTCTTTCTTCTATTTTTTCTTGTATTTGAATGGCTGTTATATTATGTTCTTTCTCTGCCATCTTTACAATCTTGTCATCTTGTTTTACAAATATTACACAAGGCCATTCCGGTCTTTCTGAAGTACTTAGGTCCTGATTTTCATGATATCTTTTAATCCAATAAATAGCTGTAGACTTATTACAATGTACCTGTTTAGCAATAAATCTAAAACTAAACTTTAGACCAGCTGAGTGTTCATATAAAAAGACAATTTTATATCGTTTCTCTAAAGAAAGTTCCATTTTTTAAGCGAAAGTTTAATGATTATCTAAATTTTTTTTTGTATCATTGACACTTATAAATTTATAGGTGATCATGTATTGTGTTACATCATATTTCTGGAAAATTTAAGGAGTAGTTATATAATAATTTTAGACAATCTCAGGCGATCAGATACTTATGACCACTACTGTAAATCTTAAAAGTTTAAATAATTATTTAAAAGCTATTAAAATGATTATAAAATTTCTATATTAAATACTTATCTTAAGAAAATATAATACCAATTGTTGCTGATTTTTCAGATCAATTATTTATAAGAAAAGTAATAACTTTACTTAATAAATATAAAAAAAACAAAAAATTTTTATTCAAATTTCTAATATTATTAATAATTTTATTTTAATTTTTAGAACATTACATATATTATTAAATATGAGAGAATATATTATATTAATTTATTGAGATTTTTTGAAAAATTATTTAAATCAGTTTTTGATAAAAATAAGATAATAGTAAAAAAATCTAAATCTTAAAAAATTAATTTGTTTTTAAAATTAGCAAATTTAGCATGTATTAAAATTGCTGTAGAAATAATTTATAAATTTAGATCACTTTACAAAAATATTGAATATCAAATATTAATAGATATTTTAGATAATTTAATATTTACAACTTTAAATATTTATAGTAAAATATTTTAATTTGGATTTTATAATCAATATATAAATACAATTTTTAGATTATAAATATTTGTTTTAAGATGAAAAAAAAAAAATTATAGTAGGATTTCATTAGCTTTTCTTTCTGATATTTTTTATTGAAAAGATAATAATCATCTATTTCTTAAAGTAATTCAAACTTATCTTGCTAATTTTAATGATTATTATGTTAAAAATTGACATAATAAAATTAGAAGAAATAAAACTTCTCAATATTCTTTAAATGTTATTATTTCTCAAACATTTGTATTAGAATCACATGATCAAACTTTTTTTAATACTTTTAAAACAATTAAAAATTATCCTTATAAAGAATCTACTTTAGATTATTTAAAATATAAAACAAGTATATTCTTTATTAATTACTTTATCAAATCTTTAAAAATTTAGAAAAAGTAAGAAAATTAAAAGAAATGAATATTATTTATCAACATTAAATCAGAAAGTAAAATTAAAATACTTACCTACTGGATATTATATATCTAAACCACTATCTTATAATATTTGTGATTATTATAATCAAAAATTTAAATGTTTAGATAAAAAAGGTATATTGTTGATATGTAAATATACTTTCTATTAATATTTTGCAGAACAAAATAATAAGTGTAATTATTGTTTAGGATTCTATAAAAAGGTGTTGTCTTTAATGTAAAGTTCTATATAAAAGATTAGAAAAAGATGATAATATTAATAATAACTTATTAGACGATAAAATATTAGATAATGATAATGAAGTAGAAAAAGATGATGATGAATATGAAGAAACAGTAGAAAAAATATTGGTTGACTTTAATAATGCTTTAGAACTTGTAAAAATTAAATAAAATATATTGTAATATATATAATTTTAACTTTAAATTTTAGCTCTCATTTAACTTTCTTAATAGCAGAGATCTTTAGATCTTTTTTTACTCAAATGTAAAGAAAGGAACGAACAATATATTGATATAAAAAAAACTGTGCATTGATATTATCGATCTTTTTTTATTACTTTAAATCAATTGAAATCAAACATTACACAATATAAAAAAGATCATATTACCACGTATGTCCATTATGCTTTTGACCCTCCTGATTGACTAGTGACTGATATGAATTGTTGGCAGCATGAGGATCATCCTTAATTCAGCCAATCAAAATAGACTATGTTTTTCATATAAAAACTAAACCATAAAAGGTAAACTCATTAAATTATATAAGTTTATTCATTAAAATTTTGTTTAAATATTCAGAATTAACTACAAAAATAGCACGCTTCTTAATCTCGCGTTTGGGTAGTTAATCTCTGATTAAACCAATACTCTATATATTATATATATAAATAAAGAAAACTGAAATTCAAAGTGTATTAAATGCAGCAGCTTGTCCTCGTCGAAATGGTAAAAAATTTCAACAGATGTGTTGGAAAAGTTGCCAAAAAACCCAGAACAGTGTATTACCTGAAGCAAAAATTTATTATGTGATGGTGATTTACTTTGTAATAAGTATTATATGCAGTATATAAGTAATCTAATAGCAAAAGTAAAACAGCAATTAAAATCGTTTAATGCAACTGAACATTCATCACAGAGAAGAGCATTAACAATAGTTCAATTTCAACCTCAGGCTTTAAAGAGCACTCATATCACTATACCTACAAATATTTATGAATAACAACAAGTGGAATTAGCTTCTTTACAAAAAATTGTTAAAAAATAACAATCTGAATTGGATTCTTTACATAAGCAAGTTTTAGATGTGCAAGTACAATTGGCAAATAAGATGCAAAAATGCTCTGATATTTCTAAAGGTTTGTAATTTTATAAATAATATTTAATTAATTCAATTATAATAATTTACAAATTAATTAATTTTTTTTAATTTTTTTTTTTTAGATATATTGATTTTTTCTCTATTATTTCAAAATTGTGTTAAGAAAATGACTGATATTTTGTATCGGCTTCAATATCATCAAAATAGTAATGGGATTTATGATCCTGAGGAATTTCTTAATATTATTTCTTTTCAAGCATCCAAGTTACGCTAATTTTTTGATATGTTATATCAATCAACAAATCCAGCTGGAAAATGTGAAAAAACAATATTACTAGTAAAAATCAGATTGTAGTTCTTTGTTATCAGCTTACTTTTCTACGTAACAAATAAATGACTTTACTTAAACATGATGTTAGTTTGTTTTTTCAACATTCGGGACTATCAAAAAAAAGAATTGATACTTTATCAAATATGGGAATTTTAACTACTTTTAAGACAGTTAATCAAACTAGAGTTAGGATTAAAGATAATTATTATAACAATTTATTAGAATATTTTCAAAATCATATATGTATTATTATAGATTAATTGATTTTAATAATAAAAATTAATATTTAACAATTAATTGATTTTTTTATAGATAGAATTTTTATGTATTTTAAATATAGATAATTATCATGACATCTATGAAGCTCATCATCCTGCTACAACATCTCTTCATCATATTTCTCATATGGCTACTATTATTATTAATACACCACTAATTTCTGCAATTAAACAAATTACCAACGAAAATTTACATATTTATAATCCTTTAATAATTGATATTAATGCTTTATGTGATACTTTAACTTATCAATATATGTCATATTTTGGCTTTAGTTATACTAATCGACATCTATTCTGGTATGACATTCCAGATATAACAAAAATGAATCCAACTGATTTAGAAGATTGGTTAACAGTTCATGTATATGATCCTCAAATCAATTATATAAAAAATTAACGCTTTATGAAATATGTTAAGCTTGTTGATTTAATTCCATTAGATCTTAAATCAACTAAACAATATCTTGAAACCCTTCAGGTTTTATTTAATATTACTTCAATTAAAAATTATTTACAATAAAATGTAATTTCAGTTTCTGCGGATTTTCTAGGACAAGTATATATATGATTAGCTATTATTCAAAAATTAAAAGAAAATAATAACATACCTAATAAAATCTTAGGAATTATTCCTATGTTAGGTCCTATTCATATTTCTTTAAATAGTCGTGAAATTCTTATTATGAAATATTGGCCATTTTTTGATAAACTTTGGAAAGCAATAATGAGACAACGGAAAAGTTGGCTGCTAAACCAAAACCTTGGAGAATCAATTTGATTTTATATATTACTTATTCTGCTTGGCTTTTAATTAAAACAAAAGTTATTCAAAAATTTCAAACTTCAAAGGATTTAGAATATCGTACTTTTATTGATTTATTAGATAATCTTATTTTTTTAACACTTGAAATATATGTAAATCTTTTTTGTAAAGGATTTTTTGATTATTATATTGAATCTATATTTCATTTATGATGCCTTTTTCAAAGAATGAGATGCAAAAATTATAATAAAGCACCTTTGATATTTCTTTCAGATATTTTTTATTGGGAAACTATTGGACATCCTTTTTTAAATGTATGCAAGATAATCTTCCATTTTTTAATGAATATTTTGTAGAAAATTTTCATTCTAGTTTATGAAGACAAACATCACATAAAATATTAAATTATGAAAGACTTTGAAAAAATGCATTTGTTATAGATACTTTACGTAAAGAGAATAATTTTAATAATACTTATGTTCAAAAAAAACAATATCTATGAAAGAGCAAAAAATTACAAAATTTGATTTTTCTTACAGCAGATTTTTTATTACAATTTTTTTCTCAATTATATAATAATCAAAACAAAAGTTATATTATTGAATATGGTATAGGAGGAAGACGATTAAGATATTTACAATATTTTCTTGCTACATTAAATACAAAAGTAGATGTTATGCTTCTTCCTACTAGATATAATTCTAATCAACCTCCTTCTACTGAAAAATTTTGTGATTATGATCAATGTTCAATTTTATTAGATACTGAAGATTTGCGATAAGTTTTAATTTGTGGTTATGCATATCATAGTGATTGTTTAAAAATTTTAAATTTTGTATGCTTATCTTGTACAAATTATTTTTGTGATGGGATTAAAAAACTTTCTCAAAATGTTATAGATAAATTATCAAAAGGAACATTAGAAGAATCAGAAGATGATGGAGAAGAAATCATTGTAGATGAAGATGAAGATAATGATATATTTAAAGTAGATGAATTAGGTGAAACCCTTTTAGCACAAGAATAATTCTTTCATTCTTTGTCTTTATTTTAATTTTTATAAATTTTTAATTAAATAAATATATTTTATAAATTTTTATTATCATATATTATATTTTTTTTATATTTTTTTATATAAATTTTAATTGATCGATAGTTATTATTGATGATCAAAAAATGATCGACAATGATCGTCAGATGATTACTAAATTAGGAATGTTCCCTATGCTATTGTTGGCGTTGTCGTCATTCGTGATTTAGACGCGATCAGGTCAGGATATAAATTACCTATCTCTTATCTCTTACAATAAAATAAAGATTTCTGCTCGTGAAGAATGTGTTGACAATGGTAAGTTCTATAACTTATCTTTCTACACTAAAAATTCAGTTTCTAACCAATTTTCAATTCACTAGCTCTGGTTTCTTATTTACGAATAACCAATAACAAGTCGTATCGAAGATTTCTTGAGCTAAACCGTGAGGTTATTCTTACTTCCGTTAAAGCATGGCGGAGGTGGAATTATGATTTGGAGGTATTTTTCATGGTCCTTTAGTAAGGATTGATGGACGGATAAATAGTGAAAGATATATAGAAGAACTTCTTGGCTACCATTTAATACCATTTTTAGAAGAATTTGAAGAGGAGAATGGTGAGTATTTTTTTCAGCAAGACAACGCGCTGATTCATACAAGTAGACAAACACGAACTTTCATTGAAGAAAATGAGATAATTCTTTTACTATGGCCTGGACAAAGTCCCTATTTAAGCCCTATTGAACATTTATGGGATGAGCTTGAATGTAACATCCGATCACGAAAAGAAAACCCAAAAAATGTGAACGAATTAGAGAAATTTTTGCAAGAATCATGGTCACAAATTTCCAGGTATATCAGAAACTGGTTAGCAGTATGGAAAATCGGATAAAAGCGGTTTTAAAGGCACGCGGCTTTCCAACTAGATATTAGCGAATATTTTAATTAAAATTTATATATAGGTAATATAAAAAACTGACTCGGTATTTAAGTTTTTTTAAAAATTTTTCGAGATTTTTAATGAAAATTTTATTTATATAGTAGTTATGGATAGGATTATGATTTTTAAAAAGTTTTTTTTTTCGAAATTGTTATACATAATTTAAACTTTGAATAAATATCGTTTTAAATGAAAAATTTTCTTAAAAATATTTTCAAAGTATTAATTAATTTAGTTAAAACCGATACTTAAAAAATGCAATATATTAAACTTTTTTATTTTTAATTAAAATGCATATATAAACCGTTGATAAATATTCATTTATGAGTAAAGATATCATATTTATTTATTAGAGTCTAATGAAAATTAACGATAAAAAAAAAATTGATTTTTTTAAAAAAATCGTAGGTGGTCCTAAACTTTTTGGTAGGGAGTGTATGTTGGATCAGGTAGGTTTTTCTTATGGACCTAATGTTAAAGTATGTAGGCTTTTAAAGTTCTAATAATTAGTTTTTTCATTTATAAACATAGTTCATAAATCAAGCAATTCCGATATTTGAGATATTGCATCCTGGTTGCATCAGAGTTTTTTGTTTTGATCAATCTACAAACCATAATGCAATGGTAGTTGATGCACTAATTGTAACGACACAACCTAAGGTGCGCGACGGTTAGTATATTAATGAAACCGGAGAAAAATGTATACATTCGATGATATTCATCAACGAAAAGGGCGGCCAAAAGGTATCAAGCAAGTATTTAAAGACCGTAATCTTTAGCCAACGAAGGGTACTCGTTTGATGTGAACAGTGCTCTGGAAAATGTGACAATGTTGAACTGAAATCATAATATTCTTGGCTACCTTTCAGCATCCACCAACCAGACTTCTTAAAAACGTCTAAACATCCTCAAGGACTAGAACTTGACATCTACTATCCACAGTATGGATTTGCTATAGAAGAATTTGAGAAGCAGTTTATGCAAAAAAAAGAACTGTGAAGAAAATTGTATTGTTTTAAGATGCGTTTGGTATTAACTTTAAATGCTTTGGTGATTTCACATTTTTTCGATTATAATTTTATTCATCCGAAATCTACACAAAAATCGAATAAAAATTTCTCAGATACACAGTAAAAAAATTAATTTGCGGAAAAAATGTATCGTATAAAAACTCATCTGTGACTTATACCGCTCCATCGTATCGATTTCCACAAGTGGTCGTTGAGTGATTTTTATTACGATATTGCGCCAGACTTCGGATAATTCGGCACGTGGAAATGATTAGGTAAGATAATTTTCATGACGCATATTTCAAAAATCAGGGAGGAAAGTCAAGAAGTATTACTGTGCCTATATGACACGTGCCTATAAAGAGATTTTCTGGCGATAGCAATATGCTTGCTTAGGGACATTTAAAAAAGCCGAAAATTCGATTATAATGAGATATTCTTTTAGAAACTATCCGAGCATTAATCCAACATACGTTGTTAATGCTTGGCGGAATATACTCGTTCGACGATATTTGATGTAAAGTAAATTTGATTTTATTAGTTTTGTTCGATTTTGTTTTACTTGTATGAAGCGATTAAAGGGTCAACTAGTGAAACTTAACTCCTTTATATGTTTTGTTGCGTGATCTTGACATCGGCAAGTATGGTCCATCACGAAAATCTTGATGTTCCTTTATATATGAACCAGTATGTGCGGGAAAGTTCGAAAAAGAACAGCCGTGATTGGATATTTGGCAGTGAATCAATCAACCGGAAAAGTATTTTCCGCTTCATAGTCTTGCCACAAATCCCGTGATGATCGAAGTGGAATTTTCAGAAAGGGAAGTTTGATTAGCATTTATGAAATTAAAGCAGACAACGAATAATAATTAACTTACCTCATAACCTAATACCCACGATACAAAAAATCGAATTAATCATCCATAGGAATCACATAAGTATGACCGCCATGGAAATCCGGTCAATTTATATTCCATATATTGCCCATAAAAAAATAAATTTTTGGTTAGATTAATTCCGCAATGAATTAATAATGACCCGAAGGCAAATTCGTTTAACAGATAAACGAATTATCAGAAGCACGAACCCGCATATGAAAAAATTAATGTAACCGCCAATTGATTTGCAAAGAATAGACTTTATTATAATAATTATCACGTAGAAACGAATAATAAAGTTTGGGATTCACCCGTCATCGTAGTCATTTACATTAAAATATTCTAACTCTTTTTCAACTTCAGCCTGTCCTTGTTCCGACCATTGATTAAAGTTTATTTGGCTAAAAAATGGAATTAAGAGACGCTTTGCTTTATATCTAAATACTTCTTCTTCTGTCATCGTATCAAAAAAATCTTCCATAGAAGCTATATCAGAACTTACGTTAGTGGTACCAATAATTTGTTTAATCTTTTGCCTTTTTGGTAGTGGTTCTTCCACTTCAGAAGTAGAAATTCCCAAAACTTGATCCAATTCTTGACCCAGTTCTTTATTTTCTGATCTCTCCTGTTCTAACTCCGAAAATGCAAGGTTTTTTCGTAACAGTGCCACAGCATTAACTCTTGGAAGCTTGAACCCTATGATATTTCTATCATTATCGTTAAGCCAATAAAAACGCCAATCATCTATCAAATCAGTCAACACTGCCAAAATAGTATAATTTGATTTTAAATCCGCCGAGATTAATTCCGCCATAATTTGAAACGTATCAGCTTTTACAATGATCTTCTTTAATTCAAAAAGGATTCGAATATGTTTTTCTGGTAATTGCATGGCAATAGAATGCCTGTCTACTATAACTAAATTTGTTGTGCCAGATAGTTTCATTGGAAGAATGTCAGCACTTGTAGTAAGAAAGGAATTATCGTTTATTGTATCATAGATCCCAAGTCTCCGAAATGATCCAAGTTTGAGAATATTAGTGATATAAGTCTTATATCTACCGTTTTGTAATCTTTCTGCTTCGTCTGACCATTTGAAAGCATTAATCCTCTCGTTCAAATTTAAGTCAAGGCCTGGCAGTTCCTCTTCAAGAGTTGTTGTTTTGTAATCAAGCCCAGTATACTCTAGAATCTTCGCCAAGTATTCTTCGTTTACACTTGATATTTGTATTACAGATTTATCTTTTATTAAATTATCAATTTTTTCATTCATTTCTTTATTCATTTCTTTCATCGTATCGAGTATTGTGATTATGTCATTATCGTTTCTTGTAACTGCGAACAAATGGTCAAAAAAAAAAGGAAATTCCGATTATCCGATTTTAACGAGCAAAGCCAGTAAAAATAGTCCGCCACAGAAGATAATAATAATGCGGAAGGAAATGGGAAAATGTTAGTGATTATTAAACTTCGATTCACTAAATTCTACTATTTTGTTTAACAGTGAACTATTTTCTCAAACTCACCGGTTAAAGTAGGCAACTCGGGCAATTCAACAATGACGTCAATATGTTCTTCGGTGATTGTGGAAAAGCAATTTTCAATTTTGTTTGTAGGAAGCAACAACTCCCCACCAAGCACATTCGGAATGTCTACACTAGGGTCATTGAGATATGGCGAGTTAATAGGGACATTAACCTTCCATAGTTTAAGGTTTTTTGCTTTGAAATTATCAGGGACATCGATCATGTCCTTAATAACCTCTCTCAACATGTGAATGGTCTCACTCTTATTTATCTTAACTTCGAAAGCAGAACCTGGACTATCACCGTAAATTAGACAAAAGAGTCTGATCTGCGACCTAGTATTTGGTGACATGAATTCAGAGAAAAAAAAAAATATCAAAGTAGATCAAAAGCGATTTTTTGTCACACGCGGTCATAATTAGGTTGATTTTATCCAACTACCCTAGCGTTCCCCCAAAAAAAGCACTGGTCACGTGATGATGTTTTTGTTGTCACCGGTATCACACCCTGGCGTGTTTTCATTTTTTTATAAGTATTTCGGGGACTTTTTTTTTTTTTCACTAGACGCAAACCTATTTGTCACACATTATCTGTCACACCAAATTCACGTGTCACTGCATAATGCCGGCCGACCAGGGCTTTTTTTTTGGGAAACGCTAAGGTAGTTATTTTATCCTCCTAATTAACAAATTTTATTGGTCAGATTTTGTTACAAACTTTACGTTATCTTTAAAAGATGGAAACTTTTAAAGAAAAACTTCAACTACTAAAGTTACTTTTATCAGATGCTAGAGAACAAAATGTGTCTGTCATGCTTAGATTTAGTAATAGGGAGATAAAAAGGGCTTTAAATATTTACCTTGAACAATTTACTGTTGCTTCTTTTTTTTATTCTTTTTTCAATGTCATCAGAAACTAAATGATCATTATATTGCTCGCTTTTGAACTTTAAAAAATTTTGATAAAATTATTGATGAAAAAACTATTCATTGTAAATATGAAATTACAGTTTGGCTAGACCATTCATTTAAAACAACAAATTTTAAACAACAAATTTTAAATAATACATTAAAAGTAAAAACTGTATTCTTAGTACTGATAAATAACAAAATTTATATCTTTTTTTTGATCAAAATCAAGATATAGAAAAAAAAACTAAATCATATGAATATTTACCTTATATTAGTTTATTTGATGATTTGTATATAAATTATGCTACTAGTATTCAATCTGATTATGGTAATAAAGAAAGGACTGAAGTAGTTGAAAAGAGACTTTTTTCTAAAAAGTTTCTTCAAAATATTTCTTTTTCCTATAAGAAACTTAATAAAGATTAACTTCAAGAATTTAATATTACATTACAAGCAACATTAGAGTTCTGAACAAGTTGAGTTAACTCACAAGTCAGATAAGCCAAGTTGAGTTTAAATCAAGTTGAGTTTATGTTTTTTTGACTTGATGATTTGCGAGTCAAGCCAAATTCAAGTCGAGTTAAATATTTAACTCAACTTGATTTAAACTTAACTTGATTTGAGTTGACTCAAGTTGACTTAAACGATAAAAAAATCATTCTAAGAAGAACAATAAGAAATTGTTCGACTTGAACGATAAAAAAATCATTCAAGAAAAACAATAAGAAATCGTTTGATTTGAACAATAAAAAAATCATTTAAGAAGAACAATAAGAAATCATTCAACTTGAACAATAAAAAAATTATTTAAGAAAAACGATTAGAAATCGTTCGACTTGAACAATAAAAAAATCATTCAAGAAGAACAATAAAAAATCATTCAAGAAGAACGATAACCTGAATTGTTCGACTTGAATGATAAAAAAAATCGTTTAAGAAGAATGATAACCTAAATCGTTCGCTTTTCCTCCCTCCTCTCCCAATCTTTTTATTTTTTTTTTATTATTTTTTTTTCAAAATCGAATCAAGTTAAAATTGAGTCGAGTCAAATTGAGTCAAGTTTAAAATTTATATAATTCAAATCAAATCAAATTGAAAGATTTTATAAAATAAATTTAACTTGACTCAACTCGAAAAAAAAAAGTCAAATAGAGTTGATCTTTAAACTCAACTTGATTCAATTCATTCAGAACTCTAAGCAACATCTCTTTGGAGAATAGATCAATTTGAAAAAGTAATATAAAGTACAAAATGTATAATTATGATAACAAATTTATCAGATTTATGTGGTGAATATACTAATTTGAAAAAGAATTATAGATTAAAGAATGCATTAAAATCTGTAAGTTTAACAAGTTTAGTTCTTATTTATTTATTAGTTAATAATTGAAATTTATTTTTTTTTTTTATAAAGAGATAGATAACACCATTAATAGCCAAATTTATACCAAAATTTTATTTTAATATCTATTTGATAGATTTTATAAAAAATCAAAATCTTAGAAATCTTTAGACCTATATGATTATCAATAACAATGATACTGCAATATGAGTATCTTTAGCTCAAATAGGAATGAATAGTGCTTTTAGTGATAAAAAAAACATTTACAAAATTAGCTTCTTTAATATTATACATTAAGACAAAAAAAAAGCAAGTATAGACCCCGCCAAAAGTCTCTGAACATTTTTTAACTCAATATAAAACTTGGAATTTTTAAATTTTATTAAAAAATATTATTAATATATTTATTAAAGTACGATTTGCTACATATTTAGTAATAAATAATTAGTACTTGATCAGATCTCAATTTGTTTCAATTATAGCCTAAATTCGCTGTGACATACTATTAACTAAATTTTCAATATTTTGTATCAGAATTTGTTTTCATACCCTTATAACATGTTGATCGAGTTGAGCAAGGTTGGAAGAAAAATTTTTCCTTTCACAGATGCTCTTCTTGACTTCAGCTTATAGATTTTCAATAGATAGTTACAGTAATAATTTGATAACGATCATTGTATTAATGGCAAAAAATTATGCTACTGTATTGTTCTATTATTAATTCTTTAGATATTTTCATTATTTTAAAAAAATAAAATTTTATTTTGATCTAAAATCAAAATAAACAAATCAAACACATATTTATTTAGTTTGATTTAAGTAAACAATGGCCAGAACATTATATAACCACAATTTTCTACAATCACATAATGTAATTAGTACAAAAAAGCTCAAAAGATAGCATTTAGAGACTTTTAGCGAGGGTCTGTATTAGCATAAAAAGCTTGCAATATTCTGAACACCTTATATATTTTAGTTTATTATCTGAAAATAATTATAAATATGAAGTTTTCTGTAAAGCATTAGGTGAAATGTCTATTCAAAAAATTCAGTATTTATATATATATTTATTATATCTTAATTATTTATATTATTATTACAATTATATATATATATTTAATTTATAAAAATTTGTTTAGTCAAATACATACTTCAAATATAGAGTTAATTATAAATCCTAATTTGGTTTTAAAAAATGTAACAAAATTTACTTATATAGCAAAAGAATTAAAATAGAAAGGACCAATTTTATTAATAATTAATTGTATAAAAGTCTATTCTAAATTAGTTTATTCTTAAGAACTTGATTATATTATAGGATTTACTATACATTCAAATGAAGTATCAGTTTCTGACATTAATGATATCTATGAAAAAATTTATTACATTTATAAAAATAATGCATTTGCAACACAAATTCAGGTTATTGTTTTTAAGGTATTTTTTAAGTTTTTTTTATTAATAAAGTTTTCAATATTTATATTATATTAATATTTATTATACTTAGATTCTGATTGAAAAATATCTCTAATAGTAATTGCTATTTTGTTTACAAAAGGTGATAAATCTGCAGAATAAATTTTTAATATCCTTTGTATTATATTAGATTTTGCATACCAAAATAATTTAAATATTCTTAGTATAGGTGCTAATAGTGCAAGATCAAAATTTAATACTCAAATACAAATTATGAATTTATCATCAACATATTTTACATTTGATGATTCATTTTACAATGTATATTTTAAAGTGTCAATTATACATGAAAGACTATTAGTTCATATTCAAGATCTAAAACATGCTAAAAAAATAGCACAGAATCAATTATTTATTGAAGCAAGACTTCTTTCATTAAGAATAGATACTGTACAATATAATCAGCTATATCAACTAGCATATCAAGATAAACATATTTTATTAAAATAAGATATTCTTAATGTTGATAAATAGAATGATGGTGCTGCATATCAGATGTTTCATTCAAATAATCTATCACAAATTATTCAAACAGAAAATGGTTTTTCTGATATGATTAGGTTTTTTATTTATTTATTTTAGAGATGTGCTCCGAATCTGATCAATCTGGATATCCGGTCATCCATCCGAAATTTGACCAGATTTGGATTGATCCGTTTATATCACCGGATTGACCGGATAGATCATTGGATATCCAGTAAACAAATTGGACGGTCAATTCGACTTAGGTAAGCATAAATTTTTTTTTTTATTTTTATTTTTTTTTTTTACAATAATGATAAATCTACGTATTACATCACTCAACACACAGTCAACACACACACACACACACTCTCTCTCCCCTCTCACTCTCTCTCTCCCCTTTCTCCCTCTCTCCCTCTCTCCTCCTGGACCTTATACTCCAAATTTCGACTTGAACGGCTTGAATTCAAACGGTAAGTGCAAAATTCTTCCTTTTTTTGTCTTAGAAATGTTACTAACTTTTATTTTACTTTTTTTCTTTAGGGAACGCCTTCTTGAACCTGAATTTTGGCTGGGCTATAAAAGTAAGTTAGTGTTTTTGTTTTTTCTGTCATTGGGAATGTCATTAACATTTCTTTTATTTCTTTTCTTTAGGGACGCCTTCCTGGACTGAATTTCTACTTAAGCTATGAAGGTAAGGTAGTGTGGGGGATTATTCTTGATTTTCTTTGTCTTTAGAATGCTATTAACGTCCTTTTGCTTCTTTCTTTAGGGAACATCTTCTTAGACCTAGATTTCGGTTTGGGCTATAAAGGTAAGGTGGTGTGGAGGATTCTTTTTTGTTTTTGGAATGGCATTAATGTTCCTTTTGCTGTTTTTCTTTAGGGAACGCTTTCCTAGACCTGGATTTCGGCTTGAACTATGAAGGTAAGTGGTATGGGAAATTGTTTTTGTTTCTTCTTTATCTTTGAAATGCCATTAACATTTTTTTTGCTGCTTTTCTTGTGAGATTTTTTGTTTTTCTTTATCTTAGAATGCTATTAACGTTCCTTTTACTTCTTTTCTTTAAGGGACACCTTCTTGGACTTGGATTTCAGTTTGGGCTATGAAGGTAAGGTAGTGTAGGGGATTCTTTTTTGTTTTTAGAACAGCATTAACGTT